CATTAACATGAAAAAGTAACTTCAATGTTAGACACTTACTATTCTTTTGTTTATTGATCAACTATGAAAAAGTTCCAACTTTATCTCAGGTAAACAAAACTTAAGATATGTTTAGTCCTTCTAGTACTTTTACTGTGACTGCTAAATAAAAATACAAAAAATGGTTTTTCAGGAAAAGTAACTTTTAACGTAAAATAAAAATAATGTTGAGCAAATTTTTCTGTAAAAAAGTACTTCCAATAGAAAATGTGACATGTTTAATTAATCATGTTATAAAATTAATATAAATACTGAAGATAAAAATTGTGTAACCAACAAAACGGAATTATTTAGTCTAATTTAATTATTTTATTTTTGGTTCAATAAACATTCTAATTTTAACGTATTAGTAATTAATTTTGATTAGATATTTATAACAAATATAAAATTATGAATAGTAGATTACATTTTAGTTTTAAAATATCATACTGATAAATTAGTAAAAAATAGAACTAGTAAATATGCTCACCAAAAATATTATTCACCTCCTCTAACAAGTCATATCTCACAAACATCTTTATAAGCTTTCACTTCTTTTTTGTCAAAAGCAAAAAAACAGATTCTGTTTTTGTCTTAAATCATTTCTATTTTAAGCATTTGGTCTCTGCTCTCTAACAGTAAAGGCAGAAACATAAACTCAATCCAAAGAGCACTTCGGTTAAGGAGATGAGTAATTTTAATTATAAACAAAAACCTAATTTACTGTACTAATAATATTCGTTGATGTTGTGTCAGATTCGAAATGAATTATTATATAAGACAAAGTGAAAAGTATGAACCATGCAAAGCGGATATATAAAGAATGATTTTTTATTAAGAAAACCAAATTTCAAATATTTAAGATTGATAAAGATTTCAAGAAACTTACGTTGAAACCCTGAAGAGATCAAGAAACACAGAGTAAAAAAAAAAAAAGAGGAAGCTTAAAAATTGAGTACAGGGTTTTATTTTACTGGTTTCAATTTTAAATTTTTGAATTTCATTTACTCACTCAAACACCTTTTATACCAAACACAATCATCTTAAAATATTTATTAAGTTTTTAAAATGAGTTGGAATTCCAAATTTGAAAAAAAAGATTAATTGATAGCAAAGATGTAGGTCCAATAACTGTCTGGTCTGTGATGTTGCTGATCTTGATAACCCGGGTACTTGGAATATCACTGTCACTCGAAATTTACAGGATTGGGAGGTAGAAGAATATGAAACAATGCTCCTCACTCTGGCTCACATCCAGTTCAAAAACCATGATGAGACTCTGCTGGAAGCACAAGAAGGGCGGCCAATTCACTGTCACTTCTTTTTATCACTTTCTGGATGGCTGAACAAACAGAAATCAAACAGGTTTCCCTGCTAGAACTATTTGGAAATCAGGAGCTCCACCCATAATAACTTTTTTGTCTGGGAAGCTGCCAAAGAAATGATTCCCACTTTGGACAACTTGATGAAAAGAGGTTTAACCATTGCAAACAGATGCTACCTCTGTAAAACCGGTCCGGAATCTTGCAATCACCTCCTACTTTGGTGCTCAACTTCTTACAAACTTTGGGCTATGGTTCTTGGTCTCTTGGGTATCTCATGGGTTATGGCTGACTCAATTACATCCGAACTTCTTGCTTGGGAAGGACTTAGCAGCAGAAATAAATTATTCAAGCTCATCCCCCTTACCATATTTTGGGTCATTTGGAAGGAAAGGAACAAGCGTGCTTTTGAAGGAAAAGAATTAGATTTTAACACTATCAAGAATAATTGGTTTCATTATTTTGGCTCAATTGTTTTAGGGCATAACCTTGATTGTAGTAAAGATTTTGCTTTCATTGTAAATATATTAATTGGCATGTAAATTTTGTACATCACCGGTGCTCCCTTGGCACCTTACATCAATACAATTCTACACTTTTATTTCAAAAAAAAAAAAAACGTATAGCAAAGAGGTCAACTTATAGAAGGACCAATTAAGACATATAGAAAATCTGGTTTTTAATTTAACTGTAGGCAGATCAAGCTATAGCTAAACATATACAAATAAACATTATGTATTTTTTACAAAATAGTAGCTAGAAAAATTATAAAAATCTTATATGTAACTTCATACATGCCAGTAATCGCTAAGTTTCACTTGGATACTAAAGACACATTTGGAATGCATTTTTAACAAGATATTAATGGCCACCAACATGACTTTTGAGTTTAAAATCTCATTCCTGAGTCATTCATTGAAAGCTTCACTTATTCTTTAGGTTTTTTTTTTTGTTGAAATAAAAGTGTGGAGTTGTATTAATGTTAGAGTGCCAAGGGAGTACAACCCGTTTACAATGTATTTACAAGTCGATTAAACTGTCGACAATAAAACTAAAATCATCAAGACCATCGATGTTATAACCAAAATAGTGAAACCCACAATCAATAAGTTTATTAAAATAAAATTCAATTCCTTCAAAAGCGCGATTGTTTCTCTTTTTCCAAAGGACCCATATTATGGTGAGTGGAATTAATCTTAACATTTTCATCTTGCTGCTGAAGCCTTCCCATGCTGGGAGTTCAGCATGAATATTGTTGTTCATGACCCAAGACAGCTCCATAAGACTAATAATGGTGTTCCATAAGTGCTGTGAAACCAAACAGCCTAAAAGCAAGTAGTTACAGGTTTCAAAATTGTTTTTACATAGGAAACATCTATTTATGATCATAAAACCTCTTTTCATTAGGTTGTCAAGGGTAAGAAGTAGCTTCCCAAGCAAAAAAAAAATTCTTTGAGTTGCACCCGATTTCCATATTATATTGAAAAGGAAGCTAATGTTATTCTAATTAAGATTGTCCCCCATGTGGTTGTAGAGAAATATTTCTCTAACTCTCAATCTTGTAAGTTTCTGAATACTGACACCTACCAAAAGTTCTGGTTGTCAAGAACTGTAGTGTCTTTTACCAAAATATTTTTATCCCTGACAATAGCATAAATAAGAGAAAATCTTAT